ATGGATCAGACGGCGGCGATCGGTCGTCGCTTAACTCGTCCCATATTGTCTTCACGTCTTTGGCCGACAGTTTGCGTACATTCGGTAACTTCGAGAGAACCGCTTTGAATATGTGTTTGGCTTCGATCGACTGGTCGGCGCCCGCGATCTCGAAGTAGTTCCTGTGATCTTCGTTGATGTCGGCGAACAAAACGACCTTAGATTCAGTGATACCGAAGTGCTCGCACACCTCGTTATCATTACTACTATCACAGTTTACTTGCGCCACATTTACCACGTTCTCCAACATTATGGCCACCATCTTCTGGACGTCAGAGAATATACACTCTTTTGCGTACAATAATTCAAATGAGAAAACAATTAAATACATCCCAAAACACATGTCTAATGATTAGATTAATACCTTTATTATCGTAACAAACGCTTAAAAGCCACCAACGATTGGATGGCTTTGTTTGCGATGAATGGTCTGTGCGTTCATTAGATTGGGATGAAGTATAAAATGACTGTAAATTGTATTTATCAATCGTCACCACCAATGGATGCATGCGATCCAACACGTACTCAACCATCGCTTCGGTCTCACGTTTACCATCATATTTCTCGTGCTATTAAGGCATTAAAAAACACAAAACAGATTATAAAACCTATTATAAGACACACAAAACACTTCCAAAAACATCTCACATCGGGATAGAAGATGAGAGAGGGATAGGAGCGGACATTCTGTTGACGACAGAGCACCCAATCCTCCTCGCAGTTGACGGCACCGATACGGATGACTGAGTCGAGCTGTTTGGCGAGACGGCGCCAATCGGGTGCCAAATGGTGACAATGGGAACATTGGGGCGAATAGTAGTTTATGAACCAAACGTACGGACTATTGGTGACCGACTGCTCGAAATCGTTTTTGCCTAAAGTGATGATCTCTTCGTCGTTGTCGTAGATACCGAACTCTTCGTTGTAGTACTTCCACGAGTGGTAACGACCGCCGGCCCCGCCGTCCTCTTTAAGGCCGTCTTCGCCGTAAGTGTCGTACTTTTTGCGCATCTCGTCGTCCTGTTGTTGGGATCAAGTCAAAAAGGCTTAAGACATTGTCTAAAGTGGTCATCGGGTTAGTGGTGTCCATACCTTAAGCACTTCGTAGGCGCGGGTGATCTTCAAGAAGTTTTCGTGAGCTTTCGGGTCATTCTTAGGGAAAAACAAAATCAAGTTTTTATTAATTATGTTTTTGTTGTAAAAACAAATGTTGTATTAATTAAGTGTTAATTAACACTCAAAGTCACACAAAATATAACTAATACAACAGTAATATGTTAAACACCACGATTAGAATGACAATTGATCATGTACAATTGATGATACATGCCACGCCCCCTAATACAGTGAGCGGACCCACCGGGCCCCTAATCGACCATGATCAAATTAAAACAAGGGTTAAAAGGATGGTATATAACAACTAATTGATCACGAAAAGGTACGTGTTGTTGACCATGGTCAATTCTAATTGTATGGCCAGTGTTTGGGTCATATAATATACCAGATTCTTGTCGGGATGTTTAGTGAGTGCCAACTGTTTGAACGCTTTCCTGATCTGTCGATTGTCGGCCCCTTTGGTGACCCCCAACAGCGTGTAGTAGCCGTCGGTGTCGACCGCTTCGCCGCACAGCACCTCATTGTGGCCCACATTCAGGTCGTTGTGAATGACGGCTATTATTAACAGCAAAAGCGCAACACTTTTGCCATCCATTGACCGCCCGATCGACGGCTGAGCGAAATGTCTGTCATTGTGTTTGTATCGCATTTTGTTTGCCCACAGTTTGCCGTTATTTACAACACTTTTTGCTATTATAAGTAGTTTTGCGATGAATTTAGTGATGAAAATGAGTTTGAAATCAATTTATTTGAAACACATTTACGTTTAAAGCGATGTCTCTATTGTTTACACCAAACATGTGTTCAAACGTCACAATACTTACAATACTTTTCACTTTTCAATACCAACTTTCGCTGCCTTTATGTGTGCTTTACGTCACTCACTGTCTTAGCCAATGGCCTGTCGTATAGTGTCCTAAGAAAGCGATTAAAACTTATGGTAAGTTTGCTTTTTTGTTGGTTCAATATAATTATGGTGAAATATGTGATCTAATAGTGATCTAGCTAATTAAATTAGCATGGTGCAATTGCCCTTGCTTAATTATATCTATGATTTAATTGTCTGAATGCTCTTTTCGCTAATGATTTTATTGTTGTGAAACTTTTTTAATGATTGTTTTAATTGTTTTCAATTGATTTCAAAGCTTTAGTTATGTTAAGGAATTGGAGGCGAAATATGCGGAGAAATGTGAAGGAAATTGTT